AGTTGAAGTTGTTAAACGCATCGTGACATTTACGTGTCATGACAGATAATGACAATTATTATTAGGATTTCTTCTTTCCCAATTAAGAAGAGGTTATTTTATTTTCGTTACGTGCATACGCCAGAGCCCGCAAACTTACGTATGTACGAGAACGTGAAGGATATTTGAATGCGCATGCGTAGATGTCAATTTTCACGTATACGTTTACGTTCATAGCATCACTTCAACTCTCTAATTAGCTTATCTACGCAGAGACTACAAAACGAAAAAGTATACTATTGCCATTAACTGAACGAATATATTTTATATCCATTCAATGTTGCGAGAACACTGTAAAAAAAAGAAATCGATTGGTGAACTGATTTTTAGAATTAACCCATTTTGAAATATGTTCTTTTTTCCATCTTGTTGTAGGTAGTAACTCCTTTAATCGACTGTGATAGGATGAACCAATTTTCAAACATAGGGTCATCCATTTCTTCATCGTAGTCTTTTGTTTTCTTTTACTCGCACATTAATAAACCATCTGGCAAAAATCCATCGGGGCTTACAATGTGGGTCATTATTAAACGATTTCCTTTTCGTGTTGGATTTTTTAATCCACAAGAGACCCCTTCCATAGAGGCTTGTTTTTTAGTTTTGATGGAGGTATCTTGCCATATTTTTGTTATTGTGTGTCCAGCATAAACAAAAATTTAATTCATGTAATATTTTTTGCAGATGAAAATATGATATATTTGGAAGAGTGACAAATTTTCTATTTCTGAGTGTAATTTTTTAAGTGAAGGAATTTCATTTCGAAAGAAATTAACTACAGATTTTTTAACAAGACTATCATTAATACTAACAGCTATTAACTAAACAAAAAAATAATTACAATAACTGCTAAAAATAACCTCCTATTACATTTAAACAGAGTTGTATCCTATATTCAAATGACCTTCTCACATTTCTACCCATTGGCATACTAACGTTTTGGAAAACAACCCTAATTCTATTTTTTATGTCCTCTCTTGTAGTTACAGGTATTTTATACACCTTATTTTTCACATACCCCCACAAAAAAAATCAACTTTTGTTAGATCTGACGATCTAGCTGGCTACTCAATTGGTCCTCCCCTACCTATCCATCAATCTGAAAAGTGATCATCAAATTGACCATGAATTACTGCATTATGATGTATTGGAGCCCCATCATGTAGATACCACATTTGCTGACGTATACGAAGAGGAACATCTTCAAGAAGTATAGGCAACTGATTCTTCAAAAAGTCTAAATAAATTTCACTGTTAACTGTTTCCTCAAAAAAATATGGTCCAATTACATAATCACCAACAATATTACCCCAAACATTTAAAGACCATCTTGTTTTAGAAGTAGTAACTATCCCATAAGGATTTTCTCTAGCATAATAGTAAAAATTATGTCGATTTAATAAACCATTTTTATGGAATGTCGAATATCTCCAAAAAGTACATAATCAAAAAGAATCTCTTTGATCATGAATTTTTCTTTGTGCCCAATTACAAATGTTTGTTCTTCGCCGAAAATCATCATCCAATAATTCCTTGTGTAACTGAATGTGATATGGGTGCATCTTATTGTTTGACAGTATTTTTTGAACACTTCCGTAGCTTATTTCTTATACCCTGGAAATTACTCGTATACTTGTATTTGGATTATCCGTAACTGCTAATAATACATTGAGTTCAGAAAATGAACTCAGTAATAACGGTTTTCGTTTTTTCCTTTTTTTTCACACGCTATATTACCTGTACGATTAAATCGATCCATGACTTTCTCGAAATTTATTTTTTCAGGTAGACGGCGCTCTGGGAATCTTTGATGATACACCCTTACTGCTAGCAAGCTATTTTTATGACATTCTTCTAGTATCTAGGTCATATCGACTAATTCCTCATTGGCAAAATTCATCTTTCGCCAATTCCAATTATATACACAAACAACAAGAAGAACCGAATCAAAACTCAAATATTAATTGACAATTAGTTGCCAAACATTACTTAATACCTTCTGTCAAATACGGTAGTCATGACCAACTATAAGAAACTTTCAGTATTTGCCAAAAATATCGTTTTATTATTAATAATCGAAAAAAAACTCTACCACTGTAACATTTAGGTATAGGAAATACTTAACAAAAGTAAAAGTATTTTGTAAGTAGTTTATGAAAATGATATAATAATCAATTTGAAATAACCAAAAAATCATAGTCGTGAGTGAGAACCTGATAAAAAGAGTTGTGATATATTCAGTTTTTTTTAATAATTAAAAAACATAAATGATTAAAAATAATTTGTACAAAATTATAGACAAGGCCCGTATATTATATGCTGAAATTGTTTTACTAAGTTTATATAGCTGATTTTTTCATTGATTCATTTAGAAGGTTTAAAAAACCAATAATAATAAAAAAGTAAACTTGTGTATTTTTTAATTATTGTTCCGTTTTCCTTAATATTTGCATAACCGTAATCAGAGGGAAAATCGAAATAAAAAATGACCTTGCAACGATCAAATCAAATCTTATACGATATTCAGATTATGTAAACTTGGTGAATCGCGTGAGACGTGAGTTTTGTTTATAAACAAAGATTGTAAACGAGAATGGAAAAATTAATAATTATTAATAATTTACATTTTTAATTATTTTTTCCTTACAATGTTAAAATTGTTATATCTAACAAGTATATCTACATGCGATGTCAACTTTTTGTCTTGGTCGAAGGCTACCGGCAGCTCGAATATATTCAGGAAATACATATTTACACTGCCCAAGCCACGTTGGACATCTAAATTATATTTGTAGTTGAAATTCAATATAATATCGGTTACTATATGAGTTTCGGGATTATTAAAACATTCTTTCGTCCAAACCTCATAGAAAAAATCTAGTAGCGTGAGATCCGGTGAGCTAGGTAGAAATTCAAGAACACCTCATTTAATGTAATAAATGTGGTGTTGCTATCTTGATTTAACCATACAAATAACAAGATTAGTTCTGAGCCAATGTATTTTGGATGCAACCTTGTTAAAATAGTAAGTATTACATAGCACATTGTAGTGTAGTGATGAATCCACGTTTCATCTATAGATATAAAACGCCGAGAAAACTTTTTCATTGCGTTTAAACATGTTTGGACATTGTTGAGGGAAATGGTCATTCGAACTCGCTTTTGATCAATTGTCAAGAGATGTGGCACCCATCTCGTACTAAGCTTTCTGTCCAAATGTTGATGTAAGATGAATTTACACGATCGTATAAAATGCCTACTTTCTCTGCTATCTCTCTCAACATTACTCGATAATTCATTAAATTCATTCATTGCCTTTTTAAATGTAGCTGTTTTTGGTCCGACGTAGCGTTGCGCATCTATGCTTGTTCTACCACGTTTAAAGTCAGCAACTTCGTTTGCAACTGTTGCATACGAAGACGCACCATGTCTTCGTTTTTATTTGTTTAGCATTTAAGCCTTTCAAAAAGAAATATTTTATCACCGCACGAGACTCGATTTTATTCATGATTAAGAAAATGCACGAATTGTTTATTTAGATTGATAGTAACGACGCATGTTTAATCAAAATCTGAAAAATTGATAGCAGTTGTACGTACAATGGCGCTTTCGAACAAGTGGTCAACACGTTCAATCATCTTCTGGTTCTTTCTAGAAACATTCCGATCAATCCCGAAACTATGAAACTTAAGCTATGCAACACCTCGACACTGTGTTTCAAAAATATTGATTCTTTTTAATTAGAAACTGGCGCAATATTATCAGTCAGGGACGGTTTCTCCATTGGTTCATTTGTGTAGTGAACACCCAGTTACATTTCATAAAAACACATTTTAAAATAAGTAAAATAAAAATAATTTTATTGTTTTCATACGTGTTAATCTCTATTTTTGGGTATGCCACTCCGCTGTGGCTATTCGCGTCTCCGTAATGCACTATTCTGAGTGAGCCCGAGGGAGCGAGAGGTTTTCGCGAAAACCTGTATCTAAAAAAAAGGCAACACGTCAACATATCCGTGAAACAATGTGCCTGCTTAAAATCACTTAAATCACGCACATAATCAACGTCACAAAGTAGGGCGGGGCATACGAATCTTTCCAGTCATTGACATAGAATAAAGAGGAGATGCTATGACATTCTCATTCTATAACATACTGCATTCTATCTCAATTTTTCCAATCAAGCTGTCAAACTCTAAAAATCCCTATAAGACAAGTTTAATTATTTAAAAATCGATTCAATTAAGTCCCTCTCTGCCATTTAGGCCTCTTACGGTCTTCACTTTTTCTGATTACCAAGAATAAGCGATGAAATAAGTAAATACCTAAAACCTCACGTAATGGGACAACTATGATAAATGGGATGATTATGGTAAATGGGGCGATTATGGCCATCGCCGAACAGTCTGGAACACACTAGAATATTCGATGAGTGATATGAAATTGCCATTTTTAGCGAAGGTACCATATTATAATTCAGTCGATAAAATGGTGGAATGTTCTGGATCCTTCCACGTTTTTATATAAATAGATGCTTCTGCTGTTAGTTGAAGATGAGAGGTCGTTGTGAGCAGATAAATATATTAAATATAAATTAGTATATAAGTAAATTTCCATATAAATTAGTATAATAAATTGTTTTAAATAAATAAACGTTACAGTATTTATCAGTGGTCAAGGGATATTTGATTAGAAAATTTTTGTAGAAATTGTGCTCATAATTTTCTTTATAACATTTCTAGTACATTAAAATTTTTATCAATATGGAAGTCCTAAAAATGTTTTTTAAAATAAAAATGGTTAAAGTACCGCTATTAACTTCAATCTTAAGAGAGAAAAAAATCCATCAGACCGGATAAAATCTCTTCCGACTCATGAACTCTACGAGTTGACCTGCTTTTAGCCACTTTATCGCGATTTTTAAAAATAAAACTGATAAATCTAGGATTTAAGCGTCATGCTCACCTTATCTAAATTGATTTTATTGAAGGGGAACCATTTTCCGACGAAGACAACGACCGGCCTGCCCAATCTGTCAACGCCACTTTGGTACAGGCAGCCGATGCCCGATACTTCGGTCAAGTCTTCGGCTTTGGCACGTCTAAGGAGTCGCTCGTATCTGGAAAGATTGAGAACAAAAATTAAAAAAAAAAAAAATTAAATTTTATGTAAGTTTGACAATAGTAAAGTAATTTAGCAAATTTACAATGGTTTATACTACTAAACAAGAGTTGTAAGAAGCCGTTTACGTAAATTCTCTGAATGCGTTATGCGTTAACAATTCGTGTTACGTACTATACTTTTTCAGCGACCCCTATTTAGTGTTTATTTTATAGGTATAAAGTCTGAAAAATTATCTATATTCTTAAATGTGGTTGGTATTCTAAAAATATTAAGCGACTGGTTATTGAACTTATTGGGCCATCTTCAGGCAAACAATGGTATTGAAACAATATTACAAGAGGTGAAAGAAATCTTCTAAAAGTACATGGAATTCAGTGACTTTACAAACACATGGTACCGTATGCGAATTTCTGCTGATTACATAATACTATTTACAATTTTCTGTTATTTTATGTTAATAATTTTTAAATCAAGGGCCATCCTAAACCCATTCAATACCACGTGTTAGTAAAGTCAGTGTTTACTGGACTCCATTTAGTTTTAGAAGATACAATTTATTTCACCTCTTATAATATTGTTTCAACACCATTGTTTGCCTGCCCAATAAGGCCGAAATTAGTGGCTTAGCAATAAATTGTGTGGCATTGTTTTTGAGTTTTATTATTTCTTCAACATTATTTATATATCGCCAATCCATAAATTTCTTGTAATTTATTTCAAATCCTTTTGTAGATTTTACTGCTAATATATTATTTAAGTACTTTACTTTTTCTACGCTATCTCTATCTCATTAAAAGAGTAACACTATTTTAATAATTATAACGATTCTTACATCGGCAATTTATAAATTTTTGATGTTATTTCTTATTTTTCTCTAGATTCTTACTGCAATAATTACATATTTAATTTGGGTAAATAAAATGACAAAGTTCTATTTCTCTTTATTCTCGGTTCGCTAAACCGAAAAGCTGTACCTTCGTTAATTACAAAAAGTGACTGAAAAAGCTTGTAAATGAAACAGTGGCGGGTAAGATTGCAACACTCAGCAATTTATACATTTTGGGTGTAATTTCATACTTATCTCTAGATTTTATTAGTAAGTAGTAGATTAGTTGTTACAGAACTACTACGAGACCTAGGGTGAGATTACAGAACGTCTGCAACTTTGCAGATCTGTAAATATGGCGGCAACTTTGCAGATCTGCAAATATGGCGGACTTACATATGCAAGTATCAAGTTTTCGTATTCCAAAAAAGATCTGTAAATTCGCAATATTTATTGTGGTTTATTACCCCCAACAACACTAAACCCAAATCCATTACTATGTTTAAAAACTCGATAATCTGATACCACTAACTGTATTCAATCAAAATAAACAGAAGACTTCATGGTTGTAGGATGTTCTAACCTTCTTAAGGGTGGATTTGGATTTAGTGTTGTTGGGGGTAATAAATCACAATAAATATTGCGAATTTGCAGATATTTTTTGGAATACGAAAATTTGATACTTGCACCTGTAAGTCCGCCATATTTGCAGATCTGCAAAGTTGGCGCCATATTTGTAGATCTGCAAAGTTGCAGACGTTCTGAAATCTCACCCCTAATCTACTAATTTACTTAGTAATATAGTTTTTATAAATTAAAATGCAAATCAAAATATAAATAAGCATTATTTAAACGTTAATAGCTTTAATATCCCTATTAAATATAATTAAAAATAAGTTTCAAGTTTTAGATATCAATCTTTTCCTGCGTAATTTTTTTAATAATAATTAATGTATAAATAACTATATGTAAACAATGCATCTGAAATATAAACTTGTATATAGGTCGATAATTATGTTTACCTGTTTATGTTTTATATTCGTGTTTACCTGCAGTAAAATTGTATGGACTTTAATTTATAATTCAGTTAGGATGTGAATGGAGGTTTCGTCCTCCTCCTCACAGAATCTGCACTCACTATCCTCTACTACTCTCTCTTACTTAGGTGTCCTTTTAGTCGACAATGCCCGGTAAGGATCCCTGTTACAATACGTAGCCTGTTCTTGCTCAGGCAGATGCAGGCTTCCGATCTTTTCTGGTTATATTCACCCAGAAGTATCTTGGCCTGTCTCAGCCCCAACAGATTGTTCCTATTATCGGTTCTTCTACTGCCCAATTCTTTTTTAATCTCTCCTAATATTAAGTTACTGCTGATACCGCAGAACGGCTCAGGTCCTACAAAGGGTGTTTGAGGCCCTTTCCTTTCCGTTATGTCCCGGGACCCAAGTGAGGGTAACTCTATTTTTCTAGCCTAGCTCATTCAATTGTTTTAGGTATCTCCAGACCATTTTTGAGCTGATTACGTAAGAGCTCAGCGCTTTGATGGCTGCTTGACTATCGGACATGATGATAATCTCTTGTCTATGATAGTTTCTCTCGATGTTAAACTGGATACACTTCTCGATAGCGTGAATTTCCGCCTGGAAGATGCTTGGATATTTTCCCAAGCTTTCGGAGTGCTTGGTTCCCGGCCCATACACTCCTATTCCAGTTCCTTCTATGGTTTTGGAACCGTCCGTATACCACTGAATAGCACGTCTTTCGGTTGTAAGCGCGATGGATTCTTGGCTCCATTCTTTCTTGCAGCTCAGCTCTGTGGTTTTGAAGTTTTTCACAAAATTGATCATCCTGATCATTCTATATAGTGTCCTTTTTGCCACATTCTCTATCATCAAATGTAGAGGGGTGAGTTTTAAGATCACCTCCATTGCGGCCGTAGGACAGGTTCTCATTGCACCAGTAATACAAACCCAGGCTAGTCTTTGTACTTTTGAGATATTAGCTCTCGTAGTAGCTAAACTAGTTCTGTTACTCCAGGCTATAGCCCCCTAAGTGACGATTGGTCTCACTATTGCAGTATACATCCATCGCAGTATGTTTGGGTTACATCCTCATCGTTTACCTGCAATGTTTCTGCATATCATTGGGTGTATAGTGTTGCTTTCTTGTTGTGGCTTCTGAACACCATCGAAGTGAATAACCTTCCATCACATCAACATTATGTTATTAGAAAAGGCCACTGTTGTCAAAAGTTTGAAGTTCTAATGATTTGAGGGTGTCGATTCTTCTTCGAATTAAAAATATTAAATGTGTGCTTTTTATAAATAATAAGAGTAAATAGATTTATATCGAGTACAAAGTGACCAGAAAATTACACTTCCATATTCAACTGCAATAGTTTTTTTTTGTGGAATTTCCAAATTTTGAATTAAATAAGGACGTTCACATAATAGAAGTTTATTTTTCATGAACAAGAACTAAATGATATTATGAAGCCGGCAAATATTTTGGAAGTGTTATATATTTATAATGAATTCAAATAAAAATAAGTTTTGTCGTTTCCTTTATATTTATTTATCAATTATTTATTATATTACCGTTAATCGAGTCTTTTAAAACGTTTATTTATGGTAAGCCATTGACAGTTTACTGTATAGGTATAGTCCAGGCATTTACTTTTGTGGAGTTGCATAGATTTCGCAAAACTATTAGAATTAAAAAAAACACTTAAATGATTTGCACATTTTAAAGGAATTGTTTTTTAAATACATCTATTAGTTTTTGTTAAATACATATTAATAATAGAAACATATCTAAACATAATATACAAGTTTAATAAATTAAGTTTTTGTACATATTGTAGGTAATTTATTTATACATTCCTGTTCAAAGAGAATACAATAAATAACAGGCAGCTTTATTATAATCATTTAAGTAACTAATAACATTTATATATGGAATGACAATACAATTCAAATTTTCAATAATTTTTTGGCAGGGTCAGTCAAAGAAGCTTTTAGGTGGTATATTTATGAGGCACATTTGTTTTATTATCAAATTTTTACCCATAATTTTGAAATGGATCCAGTTTTCTGCATCTTCTTCCACCTAAAAAATAATACAAACTAATCAGTATCCTCAGAATCAGTGTTAAGTAAAAAGGTAGGTACCTACTAGTTGATCAACTAGGTAAGTTTTATCAATTTATATGACATTGGAAACAAAAACAATTGAAGATTATCTTTACTTACATCAAAATAAATACAAAAGCACGATGGTGGTTTGTATTTTGCAACAGCTCTTAGTCCACTATCGTTTTTGAATGTCTAGGTCTAGATTTTGAGGAACTTTTATAAACATTTTATCAGATTGACTGGTTTTTTTTACTTCTCATAAGGACCAAGTATTTAACCAGATATTTTTAATGTAAAGTAAAATTAAAAAAATGTTTATTTTATCACACTTTTTAAAAGCAATTTCAATGTTTCCCACAATTTGAGGTTAGAAATTTTGACATTTTGGTATCAGGAGAAATGGAAAAAATATTTTTAAATCCGATTTTAGAAAAAGATAACTATCATAAATGTTACTATTAGAAAAAGATACGATCAACTGTATGTGTTATGGTATCACAGATTCTTTAGTGACCAATAGAAATAGCCGTTTCATTATGACGCGGTAAATGGCGCAAAAATAGTTTTAAATATTTGATTTAAAAGTGAACTTTTTAAAGTACAATAACTTTATTATTTATTATCTAATTAAAGAATTTGGATGAAAAAAAAAGCATTTTGTGCTTAAATAGTTAATAGCATTAGATTCGTTAAATTCGTTTACACTTAACAGGCCCATTGAGAAACTAATTAGGCAATCGCGGTCTATGCTAGTTTCGAGCGCGCGCGGTCTCCCGAGATTCTATAGAAAAGATAGAAAGAGAAAGCAATGCGAGCGAGACCACCTAGTACAAATGCATGCATGGGAAAGAACTAGCACAGCCCGCGATGCGACGGGACCGCGATTGTCTGAAGCGTTTCCTCCTTAAGATAAACCTTTCGTAGAAAAAAGTTCTTGCTAACTTCCAGAAAACTGCAATTGTCAATGTCGACTACCGGACAGAGCTATGTGTGAATGCGTTAATTTTATCATATTGTGAAAATACTGATAGCGGA